TGTCGAACAGCTTGGGATGGTGAGGAGCTCTTTCATTTCTGCAACTAGTCAAATATTTCTTCCCCTACACCATCCATTTCCTTTTCTGGGCACAGGTAATATAAGAAACATAGGCTTTTGAGAAATATTTTGGCTCATCCGGGGAGAAGAGTCATAAAAAAATGCCTGACATAAGAAACCAATTCCTGATCCTGGAGTTATGGCTCATGACTGTAACTCAAGCATTTGGGAGGCTGAGGTAAAAAGATCACAGCAAGGCCATCCTGGGTTGCATAGGGACAAGAAAGAGAAACCACTAAACAGACACACACACACACACACACACACACACACACACACACACACACACACACACAAGAGAGAGAGAGAGAGAGAGAGAGAGAGAGAGAGAGAGAGAATCCCTAAATTCAAAACCTAAACCTTAAAGCATTATATTGCCTAATAAATGAATCATTGAACAGATTTCTATCCTAGCTGTTTAACTTGCCCCAAATTAAGTAGATACTTCCTCGTCTGGAGATGATGGTAGGAAGACCATGAGGAAACAGGTGTGATCACAGAAAGATACTGGAAATTCAACCAGACAATACATTTTTAAAGTTAAAAGAGAAGCATAAATATTACAAAGACTCAAGGAATGATGCTTTTTGTTTGGTTGGTTTTTCGAGACAGGGTTTCCCTGTCGATTTTGAGGCTGTCCTGGAACTTGCTCTTGTGGACCAGGCTGGTCTTGAACTCACAGAAATCTTCCTGCCTCTGCCTCCTGAGTGCGGGGGGATTAAAGGTGTGTGCAACCGCCGCCACCACCAGGCGGAATGATGCTTTTTTTTTTTTTCAAAAAAAGGTATTTCACAGAAGTGAAAAGTCACAGAAATTGCTGAGTATTGAGCAAAAGGAAAATAAAGATAGAGCCACAGTTTTATTCCTTTGTGTAGGCACAGCACTGACAGAAAACTGAAAGTGACTGATGCATTAAATGAAGGCTTAGAGATACATAAAATAGCTACTCTGCCCATATGCTAAAAATAATGGTTGAGTTACAGTTGCCTAAGCAAAAGATGATCTATTCTACTTCAGGTTGATCAGAGTCCTGAAATGTTGGTAGTTTTAACATATAAGGAATATTGCCATTATTGCAGGACTTCCCGGAGAAAAGCAAGGCCTGTATGGTAGGTAAATTCATAAATGTGTAGTGCAGAGCCCAATAACTGGTGCCAGAAAGTCTAATGGGAGGTTCTAGTCCACCACAAAGGATTCATTGTGATTGTTTCAGATATAATTACTATATAAGGCACTTGTTTTGATAATGTGACCTTATAAATTTGCTGAGACAGTAGAACTAAAATTAAGTGTTTTTACCACAGTAATTGTTAAGAAGCTGCACCTGTGTTGCTTCATCACTGAATCAAGATCTTGCTAACTTAACTCTCCTGAAAATTAATCACATTTTCACACAGGAAAGTATAGGGGTAACACCTTGATTGCTTATTCATTGAGTAATTTTCACTTTTCCAGGGCGTCAGGTACTGTTTACACAGCACTAGACATTGCAACAGGACAAGAGGTAGGTGCTACCATTTGGTCTTCATTATTTTTCCTTTGTGTTTAAAAAGTTTCTTGCTGATGGCATGTATGTCTAGTGCATAGCTCCAGGTTACAATGGGAGTTTAAATTTGTTTGTGTGCAAAACATCTAAAATGGGTAGTAGTGACTGACCAAAGAAAGGGTGCATATTTATAGAACAGAAAAAAAATAGATAATGAATTTAAGTAGTTACACTCATGTATATTTTAATAATAATAAATTGTTCTTATATTTTAATCATGATTCAGGTGGCCATAAAGCAAATGAACCTTCAACAACAACCCAAAAAGGAATTAATTATTAATGAAATTCTTGTCATGAGGGAAAATAAGAACCCCAATATTGTAAACTATTTAGATAGGTAAGTATTTTCTCTTATTCATTATGTGTTTTCTTTCTAAGATGTTATTTTCTTGTCAGATTATTTATTGGCATTTATTACTTTGATAATCATATGCAAATATTTCTGAAATGGTACAAAGTAATAGAGTAAATCTTTGTCTACCCATCAAACCCTTGAAAATACATTTTTATGGACTTGGTTCTAAACATAACTAGTTTGTGTGATTTCCTTTTGAGGATGGATGCTCTGTGTTGGCAGGAACTGGCCTACTACATATAGGAGAAATCAGTGGTGTTTTAAGCATTTCATCAAGTGTCTGTTTGGAGCCAGTATGGTCCCTAGGAGGCTGAGTAAAGAAAGCAGACAACAATAGCCCTGTTTTAATGGGTGCTTTATGATTAACTGACTGTAAGGTCGAGGGAATTGAGACTTTAATCTTAAACCTTTTTCCTAAAGCAGGTAATTAATGTCTCTTTCATCAGTGGTATTAAGAGTGTTACAAATGGGCACTTAAAGACCGTGCTAAGTCTCCTCTTGTGGATAACATCTGTCTCTTCCAGTTTCAGTACTTGTTTGCTTAGCATCACTGTGCTGAGTTCTCTGATGTGATGCAAAGGAAATAAAGCTAGATCTCAATGTTCATGAGCTTAAGGGCTTGCTGTCCATGTTAGGCCAATAGACATTGATATGGTAGGGAAATGAGAGCTGTGAGGACCACTGAATTTTCAAGTTTTAATCAGTATTTCTCACAGTGTCCCATATGTCAATTATGCAACAGTATGACATGAATTTGATTTGTACATTAGTAAGTTTGTAAAACTTGCATTCATACTGTTAAAGGGGCTTGTTTCTAGGCTTTTGTCCATAACTAATGAAAATAGAAGATGTGAAATTTGAATTTTAAGAAATGTCCCAAATTGATCCCAAAAGTACTTTAGTTTAAGCAGCACAGAATAGAAAGTCTTGCTTCATAGTAAGGTAGTTTTTTTTCTTAATATCTCTGAAGCTCAGGATAGAACTTACACATATCTAAGGCCAACCTTGAATGCCTAGTCAGCATACTTTATCTTCCCAAATAAGTGGAATTACAGATGTGTGCCACCATACCAGGCTTAGTGGCATGGGTATTAAGGCAGGAGGGAGTCACAGGGGTTACCTTTCCCTATAAGAAGATACTGCTAATTGATTTGCATAATATCCTGCTCTTTTCCTGAATTGAGAGGCTATCCAGTGGCCTTAGTTCCTATATTTGAGCACTGGAAATTTCTCCTCTATAATCACCCAAAGATAATGGGTGCAACACTATCGACTTTCATCACAAATAAGGCATCAGAATATTAAAGTCTCCACCTCCTTAGTTCAAAATCAAAGTATTTTTCTTTTCTTATTATAGCTACTTAGTGGGTGATGAGCTGTGGGTAGTCATGGAATACTTGGCTGGTGGCTCTTTGACTGATGTGGTCACAGAGACCTGTATGGATGAAGGACAGATAGCAGCTGTCTGTAGAGAGGTAAGAATAGAAAATATTTCTTGCTTGTGAGAAACATAGAATTTGTCAATGCTTTCTTTCCAATTATTCATAATATTTTGAGCATTAAAATAACAATAGCATATTCCCTCTACTATAAGAATGGAAAATGTGATTAAACTATAACTCAATGTCATGTCCTTGAATTGCCTGTGTCAGACCCTTATTTACATTAGTTGCTTTCTGGTGGCTCTTTTAAGCTCTAGTATGCCATACAGGAGTTGTTGCATTTAAGCTCTCAATCACAGTAGTGTCAGGGAACATGGCCAATATTTTTGTTTATATGGAATTCCTTTCTGATTTGTGGGAATTTTACAAGATAAATATTGTGTTCTGCATGTTCAATATGAGTCCCATAAGATAACAGACTACATTATATGCCCATTATTTTCTAGAAAGCTATTTTTTTATTTTTAAAATATTTATTTATTTGGGTTCTGTGGTGGTGGTGGTGGTGGTGGTGGTGGTGGTGGTGGCTGTGGTGGTGGTGGTGGTGGTGGTGGTGGTAGTGTGTGTGTGTGTGTGTGTGTGTGTGTGTGTACTTTGTGTGCATATGGATATTAGAAGACAAATTTTGGGAATCAGTTCTCGACTTCCATCAAGTGTGTCCTGGGAATTGAACTCAGGTTGTAAAGCTTAGCAGTAAGTCTTATGGCCCGTTGACACATCTCACAGGCTCTAAAATGAATTTCAATACAGTCTTCCCTTACCCCACAGTATTCCATGAATATTCCTTATAGCCCTCTAGTGAGCATGTGGATCTGTCATTTATAAAGAGAGATAAGAATTACTGCCTTTAGTTTCTAGTCAATTTGGTGATGTTTTATTCTGTTATATTTATCAATATTGTTTTTATAACATATACTCTCCAATGGGGTCTCATTATGAAATTTTCTACAAAGTGAAATGGAATCTTGAAAACCAGTGATAGTGCAACCAAGCTAAATGGTATCAGTTACATTTTCACTTAGTAGGATATTCCACCTGAGCCTGTTTTGTATCTTTTAGTATTACCAGACAAAGGTATTTCCAAACAAGTACCTTTAGTTACTTTATAACTGGGAGCTGTCTTCAAACCTGTCCATCAGAAATAGCACAAGGAAATTATTCTTGTTTCCCATGTTAGATCTACTGAGTCAAACTTCGCCGTGCACACTGAGGTTTACAACATCTGTAAAAGACCAAAGTGAATCCCATTCACCTGGAAACCTAGACCAAGCATGATTATGCTAACTGGTCAAGTGGACTGCAATAACAACTGATTGTTGCATTATTTTCTTCATTTAGTCCATAGTGTGGCATGGGAGCCCTAAATACATAAGGTTAAATATCATCACTGATATAAATAGTAATTTGGTTTGAAAATGGTATTAAAGCATTCCGTAATCTGTTTCATTTAACAATATCAAATCACAACCTTTAAAATTTTGCCTGGAAATGAGATATAGAATTTTAAAAAAATTATTTGTGATATAATTAGAACCTTTTTTTCTGATTCAATAGTGCCTCCAAGCTTTGGATTTCTTGCACTCAAACCAAGTGATCCATAGAGACATAAAGAGTGACAATATTCTCCTCGGGATGGATGGTTCTGTTAAATTGAGTAGGTATTTTGATTCAGATATTTAAGAAAGTATGAGAGAATTAACACTGCCCTACTGTCTATCTTGAGAAGATAATGACTACTGAACATGATTTATTTGAAAGTAGCTAGAGCTTAATTTGAATTAAAGAACCTGTCAGATAGTTTGTTCCTATAGAGTGTGAGCAGATTTTTTGGCATTAATATTTCAGAATGTCTAGTAGCATCCAGAATGGATGGATGGCAAATAACTAATTGATAAATGGAAAAATTCTGTAAGTATATGAGAAAGTATTAGGAAGGAATGATAATGGAAGTCTACTAAAAATGGCATAACATTTGTCAATTGTTATAGACACCTTTAAAATCAGTATTAGCTGAGAGATCATGCAATGATGAGGATGTGAGCAAGGCAATTGCAAGCACTCATTTTAACATTAAAGGAAGGTTCAACCACATGGGAAAATAAGCTATTGCAGGAAAATTCTTTGGGTTCATTTTAATAGACTTTTCTTCTCTACAGCTGATTTTGGGTTCTGTGCTCAAATCACTCCTGAGCAAAGTAAACGAAGCACTATGGTGGGAACTCCCTATTGGATGGCACCTGAGGTGGTAACTCGAAAAGCTTATGGTCCAAAAGTTGATATCTGGTCTCTGGGAATCATGGCCATTGAAATGGTGGAAGGTGAACCCCCGTACCTTAATGAAAATCCACTCAGGGTAAGTCAGGAAAAGTCTTGTACTTCCTATTCCCTCCAAAAGGGGTCAGGAGAGAGAGAAAATACCATTTAATGATTCCCCCAAAAACTGTTCAGAACTCGAACTTTCTTGGAACAAGTAACACAGAGAAACTGAGTTATGGTGTATAAATTGCTCTGAGCTTGAAGTGACTAGTTCTCAGTTCCTCTAACAAGAACCTTTAATATTATTTAATATACAGCTTCCTACTATAAAATTGTAGAATGGATGAAAAAAGGATGTGGGAAGAAAACACATTTTTATCATTTGCTGTGGTAAAATGATCTTTTCAGGAAACCCTTGTTTCACAATTACTTTAAAAAAGTAAAAGAATGCATTTCCAGAAGTTATCATTTTAAAGTTGGATTTTTTTCTTTATTATCAGTAATGATTCATTGGGCAAGAACAGCTTGGTTGGCATTGAATGAAACAGAAATAGACAAAACCCCAGCCTCATGAAATCACAAACTAAATTAGAAGACTGTCAAATAGAAAATGAATGAAAGTCATTTGGGTTAGAGAACTCAGTTTTCTACTACATAATTGGAGGTTTAATCATCAAATGGCCCAGTTTCCTCTGAAAATAATAATAATAATAATAATAATAATAATAATAAACTTCCATCTCATATCCTAGCCCCACTAGCTTTATTCAGAGATATGTAGTAATCGGGAGGGTAAGTGAGAGAAATAAAAATGAAGCACTTAGTGTGGAACTGAATCAGAAGCCATTGGGTTATATATAACTTCACAGGAAACCAGAAGCCATATTCCATATGCATAAAGAACATGAGGTTATTGCTAAACAGAAGTAGACACAAATTTAAATCAACTCTTAAAACTCAGGCATAGCACCAGTTCCAATGTCATTGTGTCATTGGTCTGTGTCATTCTAATGAATACTCTAATATGTTTTGTCATTGGTATACAAAACCCATTGCCCTTAGTCATCAGTTAAGTGTATTCTCATTATGTTGGCAAAATCTATATTCAAGCCTAATGCACGTGGCTTTCTATACATGCAAAGAAATCTGTAAAGCAAATGTCTGATTGTTTTTGCAGTTGAAACTTTGGTAATTGGGAGTCATGCTTCAAATATAGAGAAAGAGGCCTTCTCTAATTCTCCCTTCTTTTGATTCCACCCTGGTACTTAGGCGCTGGTACTCGCCTTACACTAATTAGGAAACAACAGATATGAGTGAATGCCCTAATGAATGCCACAGGCTGTTACACTCGTCTCACAAAACAATCTGGAAGTGAGATGTATGCATTGATTAGCTGCTTACAGGGCTGAGTGGAAAAGAAGGGGCATTTTCCCACCATTTGTAGGTCAGCCCTTCATGTGTTTAATCAAGTCCACCCCTGACCTGTGGAACAGCGCATCAGGATAATTACAAAGGCTTTTCCTTATTCTTTAACTACCTTTGCCCATTAAGAAACAGCAGTGAAAGAACACATTGGGTCTGTTGTTTCTATGGATTTCTTCCTCTAAGTCTTCGAAGTTTAGAGGTACTAAACGGATTACAGCTATTTTGCTTTCTGCCTTCTGCTGAGTAATTTACAACCTGCAGAACTTAAGGATTAAATAAATGGCTCTGTAAGGCAGTGGTCTCAGTAATGCATTTATTGTTCTCTTCTGTTCCCTAGTCATAGTTGATCTCTCTTTAGGTAGACTGCTAATTACTAGAAAAAAGGAAACAAGTTTTAATCTCCATAGGCATCTTCTAGCCTGAGAACACAACTCATAATTAATAGCTTGTCTCTTAAAATCCATAAGCTTCTATCAAGGCAAGTACTTGAAGAATAATAAGCCAAAAAGTTCAGGAAGCCTACATTAAGACTATGACAAAAAAGACCCATCAGAAAGACCACCTTGTTGAATTCCACTGATGAAGATTGACTCTAACTTTGTGCCTTATCCTTTTTATGTGATTGGCCTCTGGCTAACTAATCAGCCAGTCCATACTGAGTTAGCCTGAATCTGAAGCTCTTTTCTTCTAGACACCAGAAATACTTTTAAGCTTTGCGTTTTACTGTTCTATCCCTGTGTTTTCGTGGCCTAGTTGGCCTTATTTGGGACTGGAAAAGTATATTCACTGAACCCATGAGAAGATTGCAGGCAGAAAGACACAGTGTGACACTATAGGGAGTCCACTTTTTCTTGGATTCTAGTGACCAGACACAGTGTTGGGAATTAGAAAATCATGCAACTTTAGGAGATGTATGAAAAAGCACTCAATTCTTCCTTGAAAATTATCCCAGTCTACCACCAGTTCACCATTTGTAGGCTTTGAAACAGGTGGAAGTAAACGGAGTAAAAAGAAGATAACATGGTACCATAAAGAGAGGCATGCACTGTGTGGACAGAAAAAAAACCAATTAAATAGTCCGGTGGACCTAAATATGTCCTGACGATGTAACCTAAAAGCTCTGGGACATTTTGAAAAATCACTTTCTAAACCTGTTTCCTTTCTGTGAATAGGGATAATATCCATCTTGCTGAGTCTACATGAAAACTAGCTGAATAATGTATGTAAATTATCTAGCCCCATGTTTAGCTCATTGTAGAAAATGTATGTGGAAATTCATGAAGATGAACAGAAAAGAAAGGAAAGGGAGAAGAGATACTCAAAGCTCTTTTTACTCATTCATTTAATGGATTCACTATTCCCTAGAGAACTTGTATCCTTTTGCCTGACTCTCATGGAGTGGAGGCTTCTGCACAATTCAATGTAATTACCATAAATAGGTAACATTGAGCAGAACAAGGCGAAAGTGAAGGCTCTGGCTGTGCATTACAAAGTTGCTTGAATTTCACTGTGGCTTGTGTTTTTGTTGTGCTTGATTCAACTGAACAAACTGTAAATATTGATTGCTGATATATATTTGATACAAAAAATTACTACTTCTTTTGACCAGTAGTAAAAGGATTGAGATTTTTTAAATGTAAATGAATTGACCCAATTTGCTCATAAAATGCTTTTAAAAGCTCAGAGTGTTATTAGGTGTACTGATGTTATGGTGGTGGTAAATCTTCTAGAGGCAGAGAGGAGGCAGCCTTCTTATTGCCCACCCCCATATGCCCAGTGCCTTAAGTCTACACTTGATGTAATTGGCCTTGGACATGGTGTTTTGTGACCCATAGGCAATTTTATGCAGCCACCAATAATTAAGTCCCTCATTCCTTCTGTTTGCCAAAGTAACTGGGGCTTAAAACAAGTCTGACTTTCTCTGTGAATATGCAAATCAAATATTTATCTTTTGTTGATACCACCGCCTTTTCTGCTAATGGATGATATGTTTTGTTAAGACTTGTGACCATAAAGACCTGATTATAAGAAGATAGTATTTCTGCCAAACCAAATCTTGACTTTTTTCCTTATGAGCACAAAGTACCTTTCTTTAAAAAAAAAATCACATTTACACTTACACATAGTAGGTTAGTTCTTATCAAGCTGTGATGGATTTTGGTACTTATGAACTGCCTCAGTGATGCCCTCTTGAAGTCCATACAGAACCTTTAATAATCCTGTTTTATGTGTAATTTTCCACCCCCTTTAAAGTGTTTGCTTTATGCCTTTATTTTAAGCATCAGTGGGGCTCTATCAAACTTTGAACCACTGGACTGCACTTATTGCTACCAGGGCTAAAAGCAGTCCATGGTAGATGTGAACCACACATCCTACTTGTTCTGCTCCTTGTTTTACAATGGAGTCCTCTGTGGAGTTTAAGAGCCAATGACACTGGATTCCATACCCTAGGAAAAGGTGGAAACTAGGACTAGGCCAAAAGCAAAGCAATATGGCAAGACCTTAATAGAGCACTGTTTACAATGACAAGTTCTTCATCCCTGTTTGAGTAGTTGTTTAACCAGGGAAACACATACTTATTCTGCACATCCTTATCCATTTCCTTTAAGAAATCATAACCAAGAGCATCAAAGCCTAGTTGAAATTTTGTTCTCTTTTCCTCACTTTCAGACTTAGCAGTCCTGTAATACTATATGTCTTAATTTCCTTTCGGTTGCTGTGATAAAAATACCCTGACAAAAACACTTTAAGGGAGAAAATGTTTAAGTCCCTAATTTCAGGTTACAGTCTACCATTATGGGGAAGTCAACAGATAGTGGAAATTTGAAGCATCCAGTTACAATATATCTACAGTCAAGAGAAAAGAATAGTGAATTACTAACTATATGCTAGTTCTCAGCTAGCTTTCTTCTATAATACAGTGGGCAGGTCTTCACGGATAAATTAATGGAATAAAGAATATGCCCACAGACATGCACTTAGGTCAACCAAATCTAGACAAACCCTCATTGAGATGTTCTTCCCAGGTGATTCTGGGTTATACCAAATTAACACAATCATTATCAAAAAGGACCAATGTTAACTAAGTATGCATCTCCATGATATGACTTTTTAATCCATTTTTCTTCCAATAATGGAGTTTATCTTTAAAATTAGCTATCAGCTGAGGGTCTGGCATATACTGGAGCATAATATATCCATGAGTGTGAGTACATGTGATTGAGTGCATTACCTCTATGGCTGTGAGGGTAGCAATCCAAATAAAGGCCTGCAGGCACGTTAAGAGGCTTACTGCCATCCTCTTTACTGGCACTTAAAGTACAACATAAATGTCAGATTTCTTACCTCTCTCTTACAATCAGAGAGTGTATGTCTCAAGGTTATTATGCAAGAAGAGAGAAGCCCTAGCTACTGAACAACAGCAGTTAAGGGCCAAACTGCATCTTCTTCCCTCCAACCACTGGAACCTGTGCTGTGGATTGGAATGTCTGGGTTTGATGGTGCGTGCTCATTTGGAATTAAAGTCAGACATAAACTTCCTGAACACCAGAGAAGCAAGCAGACTTTGCTAGCACTCAGTCAATATTGTTTTGAATGTATTTCAGGGAGAGCTGGGAGCATTCCCTTCTTTTTCCATAAGCCACTGTGGAACAGCTAACTTTATTGATGGGT